CAATAAAAAGTAATCTGGCATAAGAGTTTTCATTTTCCAGGTGCGTTAGTGTATTGTGGAGGACTGTAGATATAGCATCGTCTATGGATCTATTTTCTCGATAGGCAAATTGATGGTGATCCAAAGTTTTTGGGACAAGAGTGCTGATGTAATCTCTTATAAGCCGTTCAAAGCATTTGCTCACTATCGGAGTAAGGGCAACAGGCCGCCAATCATTTAGACACATGATTTTGGTTTTCTTGGGAATTGGCACTATTACAGAGGATTTAAAGCAAGAGGGAAATACAGAGAGAGACAGACAATGGTTGAAAATATCCACAAACACGCCTGCAAGTTGTGATGCGCAAGTTTTAATCACCCGGCCAGGAATCCCATCCGGCCCAGCAGCTTTTCGAATGTTCACTCGTTCAAACACACGTCGCACATCACCCTCTGTGATGTAGAATGTCCTTGGTGTATTATTGGTAGTGTTTGCACTGCTGGCGGGACTACTCTGGGGGGTCGTGTTGGTGGTTTCAAACCGGGCATAAAAAAGATTCAGCTCATCCGTCAGTGTAGGCAAGACATTAGTTGTGCAACTAGGTCTTGCCTTGAGGTCCGATATGGAATGTATACCCTGCCATACCTTGCGTGAATCGTTTTCACTCAGCTGTTTCTCAATTTTTTCCATATATTGCCTCTTTGCCCGCTTAATTGCCTTGCGGAGGTTGTATTGAGCTATTTTCTTCTCCTCCAAGTTCCCAGAAGAAAAGGCTTTGTCTCTTGCAATGAGGGCTAGTCTTACAGAGTGATCAAGCCATGCTTTTTGATTGGGAAAGACACGGACTGATTGCATAGGGACAATGTCTTCAAAACACTTCAGTATAAAACACATCACCACGTCGGCATATTCATGAATATCAGCAGTCGCCACCCAAAACACCTCCCAATCCACAGTCTCAAAACAATCCTGAAGCTCAGCTTCCGATTGGTCGGACCAACGGGGGATTGACCTCATGGTGGGCGCTGTCTGCTTTAACCTATGCTTATAGGCTGGCAGCAGCAAAATAGAGGCGTGGTCTGACTTCCCGAACGGTGGCCGGAGGAGGGGTTTGTAAGCATTGCGGAAGGGAGAATAGCACTGATCTAAAGTTTTATTGCCGCGAGTTTTAAAATGAATATGCTGCAGATATTTCGGCAGTACCTTGCTCAAAGAAGCTTGGTTAAAATCTCCAAGCAGTATGGAAGCTGCCTCCGGATATTTATCCTCAACATTGGCGACGGTGTTATACAGTTCTCTCAGTGCGCTCTCCGTGTTTGCCTGTGGTGGAATATAGACTGCTGTTAAAACGACGGCCGTAAACTCCCTCGGCAGCCAGAATGGTCTACACAGCAGCATTAAGTACTCCACGTCAGGTGAGCAAAATTGCTTTATGAGATGTATACTGTCCGGATTACACCACGCGTTGTTGGTAAAGAAACAGACTCCACCGCCTTTCTTCTTCCCCGAGAGGTCTGCTGATCTGTCCGCTCGAAACACGGAGAAGCCGTGGGGGGCAACTGCATGGTCGGGCACGCTCGGTGATAGCCAGGTTTCTGTTAGGCAAATAACATTACAGTCTCTTGTCTCACGTTGAAAGGATGTTCTAGCCCAAAGTTCATTCAGCTTATTATCCAGAGACTGAACGTTTGCCAGCAGTATACTGGGGAGTGGAGGTCGGGTTACTCGCCGCCTAAGTCTCACAAGTATCCCGGCTCTGCGTCCTCTTTTCCGGCGTTTGTTGCGTCTTTGCCTTGGTCTCGCCGCTGAGTTGGAATATGGGTATTCATCTGTTAATGCAACCAGTGGGTCAATATGAATATACTCCGGAATGGGGCGGTTGATCGTTGAGTCTCGAATTTCTAATAAAGTGTCTCTGTCATAAGCTAGCAGGCTAACAACTTTACATACATATGTTAAACAAAAGTATAATAAAATAACTGAGAAGCTGCGTGGTCGTGGAGGTGCGAGAGACACGGCAGCCATACTCGGCGCCATACCATACCATACCATACTCATTATATAATGTATACCATACCATACCATACCATACTCATTAATATAATGTATACCGATCAAAATTAAACATATCTTATTAAATCATAAATAATAAATAATTTAATTAAATAAATACAATAATTTAATTTAAATATTTCATTATAATAATAATAGTTATTATTACTATAATTAATTATTGTAAACTACGGGAACTTTTACAGTATTTTGGGGACAATGTGGTTAATTGTCATGGAAAAAAAAACGCAAAAAAAAAAAACATTTTGAATTTTGAGGTTAAATGTGATCTTGACAGGTTTTTTGAGATTAACCGGCGTACTGCTGTAACACACTGAATATACACCAACGCACCTAAAGGATTATTAGGAACACCATACTAATACTGTGTAGTAACTGAGCAGAATGTGAAATACTCAGACCGGCCCGTCTGGCACCAACAACCATGCCACGCTCAAAATTGTGACCGATCACGGAAACTAGGGACACAAGTCGGTTCTTCGGCATTTTGAGTTATTCATAGATTCTGAAAGTGTAGTCTCCAAGCTTTCCAACGATGTGTAACACGTGGAAATCTGATAATATTTGGAGAAGTTGTGGCCATTTGAAGGTAGGAACTCAAAAAAGGTAAAATGGGAGAAAACGGCCTCAAAAGATTGTGCATTCTCACCTCTCTCTCCTGCTGGGAGTGACAATAGGGCTCATTTACATCTCATTTAGATAAGCCATACCCCCTGTAAAGCTCCCCCTGTGCTTTACAGCTTTTTTTTCTTTCCTGAGCTAGCTAATAACAATAGGTAGGTATGGGAAGGTCTAAACAGACTAAACATGAGATAACATGTACGTGTTCTTAGAATTAAAACAAAACGACAAACTTTAATGCTTAATGCAAACTCACCCCCAGGACCGGCGAATGCACTTCTGCCGCTCTAGGCGAAAAACAATTGTGCTGCCCCTCTATTTGCAACGTTTACCAGCAACAACACACAAAGACCAATATGCCATATACATATAACGCAAAACCAGCAACAACACACAAAGACCAATAAGCCATAGGCCTACATATAACGCAAATAGTGCGCAACGCGCGTGTGCCCAAAATGTCAACAATATTAAAGTTTATGCAGGAGGTAAATGCCTGCTGGCATTTTTCTTTAAGCAGTCATGACAGGAATTTTCCAAATAATCATATTTCCTCCTCAGATTACTGTTGCAAATCTCTTTACACCACTTTCTTATGTGCGTATACACACACAAATGAAATGTCCGCAAGCACATTATATCATCAGCAGGTTCAGCATCTTAAATAACGACTAGAGAGCAAATGAAGCTTAACTTACGTTTCAGAAACGCGCACGGCAGGCCTTCATCGCAGCAAAGGTCTTAACTGCATCCTCTATTTCGATTCTCTGTGCCAGTTCATGTTCTATGGAGATTGTTGCCAGTCCATTAAGTCTGTTCCCTGTTCACAAAACGTTCCCCATTCAAAGCAATCGGGACATCACATATGAAACAGTTAGCCACCGCTGTCAGCGAGCCGAGCCGCCGTATTCAAGCACCGAGGGCGCGCGCGCCGCGCCCATACCTCCGGTTCAGTTTCCCGAGCCCACAAAGTGCGGCGAAAACATTTTCGGTGTAACTGCCACGCTTCAGCTCGTCTGCGACAATCTTTGCGGCGTCCATCTTCATTGAATTTTGATATCAGATAGAGCCGGCCAGAGCGCTGCATATTAAGTAGCCACGCTGTTGGGGGGCGGGGGCAAAAGCGCCGGCGGCTATTCAGTATGGAAATACACACAGACAATGACACGCCCCTACTGCATGCTAGAATCTCCGAAAAACAAGCCGATTTCAACCTCAAAATGTACGCTTTTAAATATACCAATACTGTTATCTCAAACATGTAGAGGCTTCTTCATGATCTCAACTAACAGATTCTGCAAAAAAGCGGAAATCACCAATTTTGGAAAAAAACGCTTCTTTCTCATTTTGCTCGCAAGTTGTGCTGCCGACTTGTGTCCCTGGTTTCCGTGACGGGTCACAATTGCTTAAATCACCTTTCTTTCCCATTCTGACATTCAGTTTGGAGTTCAGGAGATTGTCTTGACCAGGACCACAACCCTAAATGCATTGAAGCAACTGCCATGTGATTGGTTGATTAGATAATTGCATTAATGAGAAATTGAACAGGTGTTCCTAATAATACTTTAGGTGAGTGTATATGCTATTAGTGTGTGTGTTATGTGCGAGTTTGGACTGACCAAGTAAAAAGTTTAAATTAATAAATGTACAATGATTGTCTTTTTTTAACCATGCAGGTAATATTTGCACTTTTTTACTGTAAAATATATTTTTTTAAATTAAATGCAAAATGGATTTGTTTTTTAATCATCTTTTTGCCTGCGCTTGTTCATTTCTAATGCATGAAAAATTAATTATGAAAATAGATTTTTCAAATACAATGTAGTCTCCTAATTCATTTTTTTTTTTTTTTTATTGCAAAAGATGTTTAAAAAAAAATGCAGATGTTTTGTATGTCAGATCACTGGACATGTCAACTTTCCAAAAAGTCAAATTTCAAGTCAGTTGCCCACAAAGTTAAAATCAAGATCCTGAAGTTTCTCAGGCATAGCAACAGAGTACAGACTAATGACTGTCAGCGATTGTTTAATCTGGCGCATGAGTGATCGCAGCGCCTGTTGTTTTGCTCTGGGACTGTCATGGCCGGTTCGGCTTGATTAATGCCTGCTGCAGTTTTGGGTTTTGAGTACATCTCGAGCTCCAGTGCTATTCTCCAAGCGCTCCGTGGTTCTGCTTCGGGCATTTCCGTTTTGTGTAGAACTGGACCCTGCTGACCTGTTTTTCAGTTCAAAGAACAAAACACTGACTCGCCGGACCAACTTGATTAATGTCTCTCCCTTTCACTGTCTCCCTTGCTTTAAATCACAAAACGTAGCAGCTCTCTTACCTTTGTGATAATCATCTGTTGATATGCAGGTGTCACGATGAAAGTGCTGGTCATGTAGAAGAAAATCACCGGCTCCACTGTAACAACTCTCCTTAGCTTCTCTTTCCATGCCGACATATTCAGCTTAGCGGTGACAGATATAGGGGCGAGGAAGGAAGAAGGAAACCGTCTCTTAATATTAAAGCCGTGTTAGGTATAGAGCAAACCCATGTAGATGGTTCATACTTGTCCAGAGGGAATAGTGGACAAGGGAAGGGTTTTCCTGTTAAAACACACTGTTAGGTTAGTCACATGCATGTCAGCTGGAACAAGGGGAAATTGTCTCTCTCAACATTCTCTTATCAGGAATTGTTCTACTGTGTGGTTGTAAAAGTGGTTGGCCTTTATTTGCCCTATGAACACATCCCCCACAGATTCACACTTCCCCAGCAAAAACAAAGAGTGATGAGAATCCTCTTCTTCTTTCTGCATGCATTTTCAGAATGTTAAACTTGCAAAGTGAAATTTCCTTTGAATTGTGCAAGCATTTCCTGTTATAGCAGCAACTATTGAGGTGCAACAATGACAATGACAATTTTCAGTATTCTTCATTACAACCTGTCAGAGGTTTCTTTGTATAGTTCTCCAGTATAAAGTGTAGTATGACCAATAACATTAAAACATTAGTTTAGTCTAGTGGTTTGTCTCCCTTTGTCCAAGATAATATTCGAAGGCCTTCTAAGCCAGGGTTGCCAGGTCCCAGCCCAAAGCCGGCTCAAAACCTGCCCAAAAGGAAATAAAAATGTTCACCTCATCCAATCACAGTTGACAGCTTCGGGATTCCCACAAAGTGCTGTAACATAAACATTTTGATTGTATTTATTATGTTTTGAATCGTGATTGTATATTTCCTTGTTAATATCTACTGTAGTTTGAATATATTTAAGTATTTCATCTGTATTTTACCCCTCTTCAGTTATTTAAACTTTTTTATTTTATAGCCTATGATTCTTCTTTTACTCTGTCTTTGATTGTCACGGATAAATTGTTAAAAAGTTGAGCTATAAATATGAATAACCCGCACAATGTAATAGGCTGACATAGCCACCCATGCTAGTTTTTGCCTTAAAACATGTATTGCCCTTTACACATTTTAGTTTGTACACATTTTCAGACAATAAATGAAAAACTGACATTTTCTGATCTCAGTCAAGACCATTATTAATAGCCTACATACGCTTTTCTCGTTGTTCACTCTTGTTTTGTCTACACACAAGCATCAATAGTTAATCAACAATGCCAAACTCAATTAACCTAACTTAAAAAATCCTGTTGTGGGTGAAACTCATGTAATCAATATTTGTGAAGTGACATCAAATTATACCCCCCATTATACCATCCCTCCTTCACTCAGTCACTCTTTCAGGGCTCCTCAAAGGGATAGTTCAATTAATAAAGGCCTTCTGAAGTGAAGCGATGCGTTCGAGTTAGAAAAATATACTACTCCTACATTCATTCTACATCACACATCGTCAAGTGTTACTCTTTTGGCGTAGGTCGACTTGCGTACGGCCGTCTGCCGGAAACTAATTATTTTAGTCGATAAAGTTTTAAATATGGATATTTTTCTTACACAAACACAAACACATCGCTTCACTTCATAAGGCCTTTATTAACCCCTTTATTAACCCCAGTTTGATGGACTTCCAAAAAAAAAAAAAAAAATTCACTCCCATTATAAAGCTTGGAAGAGCCAGGACATTTTTTAAAATATAACTCTTATTGTATTCGACTGAAAGAAGAATGTCAAATACACCTAGGATGGCTTCAGGGTTAGTAAATCATGCGCTGATTTTCATTTTTGGGTGAACTACCCCTTTAAGTTGCCAGGTATCGTTCTAAGGATCAATAGACATTAGTTCATGGATCTATTTTTATCGGTTTAGTCCCAAATGATGTACTATACACTGTGCACTTACACTGTACACTTTGTACTGCCATATCATTTCAGAAGGGTAGTGTGTCTCAGTTGGAATACTTAACAGTTTTTTACTACACAGAAGCTTTAGCTGGTTTCTATTTAAAGGAAGTGATGTTTCAAACAAACTTGATGTGTTTCCACTATTAACACAATAAGCCCTTCTGTAGCTATACAGTTAACTGCAAATCTACACAAAACATACAAAAAGCCCATTCTTGTTACGTTTTGCGTGGAAGCAAAGGCAGTAGGCGGATCTAAATGCAGCAGTAGACTTTAATAATACAAACTAGGGAAAACTCAGAACAGGCAAGACACTCGAAAATACATACATTCATTCAATAACTGACCAAGAACAAAAGAGCAGACAGGATTAAATACACAGACGGGATGAGGGAACAAGACACAGCTGGGGCAAATCAGAACACAGGTGAATAAACTGAACACTAACAAGGAGCGGGAAAACTGGGAACAGGACTGAACCAAATACACAATGACGGGGAAAACTCAGGGAAACAGATACAGAACAGACATAACTATAACATTATCCCCCCCTTCCATAAGGCGTGTCCCCGCGCCGAATAAACATCAAATAGGGGCGGGAGGGTGGGCGCCCTGGAGGCTGACGAGGGCGTGGCTTGCCCGGAACAGGAAGCCTCCAGGGCGGAGCAGGACGTGACGGCGGCCAGGGCGGAGCAGGATGAGGCGAAGGCCAGGGCGGAGCATGACGTGGTGAAGGCCAGGGTGGAGCATGGCGTGGCGAAGGCCAGGGTGGAGCATGGCGTGGCAAAGGCCAGGGTGGAGCATGGCGTGGCAAAGGCCAGGGCGGAGCACGATGAGATGGTGGCCAGGTCGGAGCAGACTCAGACGAGGATGAGGACCATGTCGACGTCGTCTCCATGGCCCTCACGGAGTACCTTCTGCCCCCCCCCAAAAAATACTTGGGGAAATCCTCGGGAGGAACCTCCAGGTGGTAAAAGGGTTCCGGGCAGGCCTCCCGGAGCTTGAAGGGCGCAGGCAGGACGAGGCGCAGAGGCGGGGCCGGCAGGGCGAGGCGCAGAGGCGGGGCCGGCAGGGCGAGGCGCAGAGGAGGGGCCGGCAGGGAGGGGCCGGCGAGGAGTCTGGGAACGCCCTTCGGAGCCTGGCGAGGCAAACGAGACCTCCTTCTCCTCCTGCGACGACGCGTCACTGGGCTTGACTCACTTGACTCGGTAGACTCACTTGACTCGGTAGACTCACTTGACTCGGTAGACTCACTTGACTCGGTAGACTCACTTGACTCGGTAGACTCACTTGACTCGGTAGACTCACTTGACTCGGTAGACTCACTTGACTCGGTAGACTCAGACTCACTTGACTCGGTAGACTCACTTGACTCGGTAGACTCACTTGACTCGGTAGACTCACTTGACTCGGTAGACTCACTTGACTCGGTAGACTCACTTGACTCGGTAGACTCACTTGACTCGGTAGACTCACTTGACTCGGTAGACTCACTTGACTCGGTAGACTCACTTGACTCGGTAGACTCACTTGACTCACTTGACTCCCTTGACTCGGCGGCACTTGACTCCCTTGACTCGGCGGCACTTGACTCACTTGACTCGGCGGCACTTGACTCACTTGACTCGGCGGCACTTGACTCACTTGACTCGGCGGCACTTGACTCACTTGACTCGGCGGCACTTGACTCACTTGACTCGGCGGCACTTGACTCACTTGACTCGGCGGCACTTGACTCGGCGGCAATTGACTCACTTGACTCGGGAAGCGCGGTCTCACTTGACTCGGCGGCACTTGACTCGCTGGCAATTGACTCGCTTGACTCGGGAAGCGCGGTCTCACTTGACTCGGCGGCACTTGACTCACTTGACTCGGGTTCGTCGAGGCTGAAGCGACGTGCGGGTTCGGAAGACAGAAGCTCAGCCTCAGGCATGTCGATCTCGGCAGGAAGAAGCTCAGGCATGTCGGTCTCGGCAGGAAGAAGCTCAGGCATGTCGTGGAAAGCGGGCTCGACTCGGTTCACGTGAAGCGCAGGCTTGTGGAGCGTGGTCTCGGCTGAGCAGCTGAAGTGAAGCGCGGGCGCGACCGGGCTGACGTTAAGCGCAGGCTCTCGCAGCTTCTCCTCCACGCCCACAGTAAACGGGGAACCGCTCCACAACAGGGCCAGGTCAACGTACCATTCTAAAGATCCGTGAGGACCAGGTTCGGGCATCAGAGACCGGAGTGGTTCCGATAATCCTCCGCGGAAGAAGATCTTCAGGCCGTGGGTGTTCATTTGCGCGAGATATGCCAGCTCGAGGAATTCTGCGACATAATCCTCGATGGCGCGATTCTCCTGGCGAAGACGGAGGATCTGGACATCAGGACTCCAGGTAGGCATGGCTGCTAGATCCTAGTGGGTCAGTTATTCTGTTACGTTTTGCGTGGAAGCAAAGGCAGTAGGCGGATCTAAATGCAGCAGTAGACTTTAATAATACAAACTAGGGAAAACTCAGAACAGGCAAGACACTCGAAAATACATACATTCATTCAATAACTGACCAAGAACAAAAGAGCAGACAGGATTAAATACACAGACGGGATGAGGGAACAAGACACAGCTGGGGCAAATCAGAACACAGGTGAATAAACTGAACACTAACAAGGAGCGGGAAAACTGGGAACAGGACTGAACCAAATACACAATGACGGGGAAAACTCAGGGAAACAGATACAGAACAGACATAACTATAACAATTCTACAGTAGCTGCAGTTTATCATGTTTTGTAACATCTAAACAACAACAGTCAGCAAGCTGATAAGAAACCCATTCCTTACAGCATCACGTTATGCATTAAGTGACAAATTAACAGAAATGTTAGCTGTGCCTTGTGTCATAGGGTCCATAAAATTGTATTCGCCTAGCTGTATTATATACAATCTGGGGCTGTATTCACAAAACATCCTAAGGCTAAAAGTAGCTCCTAACTTTAAGTGGTACTCACTGCAGAGTCAAATGACATCCAGCTCCACCTCTCAGGACGTCTAATGGTTGGAGGGATAGAGTTGTGGGTAGGGTTAGGCTATGGTTGGACATTCTAGCTCCACCCATTAGGCCCAAATTACATTCGCTCCTCCTTGCTGGATGTCTAGGAGAAAGAGCTTCCCATTTGTTCTGCAGTGAGGAGCCTCCCCCTAACTTGCAGATTTAGGAGAAACTCTTACAAATAATGGGTGTGTTCACAAAGCATTTTAGCGCTAAAACCAGCTCCTAAATCTGTTTTAGGACGTTAGGGGTAATTCAAGAGGACTCCTAAGTCACTAAGACCAAATCAATAACAATCCTAACACGGATGTTGCCAGCAATCCGCCTCAGCAATCCGCCC